TTTTTGCTGCTCTTTTTCTAATTGTTGGAGATGTTGGGTTAAGGTGTTGATTTTGGCTCCTTCTTCTTTCTTGATGTGTGCATTTATTGCAATAAATTGGCCTCTTATCACTGCTTTTGCTGTGTCCCAAAGATTTTGGTATGCTGTGTTTTCATTCTTGTTTGATTCAAGGAATTTTTTTATTTCATTTTTTATTTCTTCTATTATCCAGTCGTTTTCATGGAGGGTGTTATTCAGTTACCGTGTGTTTGCTCTTTTTCGATTGATCTTCCTATTGTTGATTTCTCATTTTGTAGCATTGTGATCTAAGAAGATGCTTTGCAGTATTTCAGTGTTTTTAAGTTTATTAATGCTTGCTTTGTGGAGTAACATATGGTCTATCCTGAAGAATGTTCCATTGCACTGGAAAAGAATGTATATTGTGCTGGTTTTTGGTGAAGTGCTCTGTAGATGTCTGTAAGGTCAAGTTGGTGAATTGTATTGTTTAGTTCTTCTGTGTCTCTGTTGAATTTCTTTCTAGTTGTTCTATCTTTCCTTGAAAGTGGTGTATAAAAGTCTCCTACTATGACTGTGGAGTCATCTATTTGTCTTTTCAATTCTGTTAAGTCTGATTTATGTATTTTGGGGCTCTTTCATTGGATGCATAGATATTTATTATGGTTATGTGCTCTTGTTCAATCGATCCTTTAATCACTATATAATGTCCTTCCTTGTCTCTTTTGCTGGTTTTTGTCTTAAAGTCAGTTTTATCAGAAATTAATATTGCCACTCCTGATCTTTCATGGTTGCCATTTTCTTGATATATCTTTTTCTAACCTTTGATTTTTAGTTATTTGTCTTTCTCTCTAAGGTGTTTCTCTTGTAGACAGCATATTGATGGGTTACGTTTTCTTATCTAGTCTGCAACTCTCTGTCTCATGAATGGTGCATTTAATCCATTGACATTTTGTGTAATTATTGATAAGTATGAATTTGTTACTGTCATTTTGCTATGCATTTTTCATGGTGTTACTGATTTCTTTGTTCCATATAATTTTCTGTGCTGAGCCCATTTTGTTTATTAATTGTGTTATCACTTCCTTCATTGCTACTGTTTTCGTATTTGCTAAATATTTGTGCTTTTCCTCTTTTTTTATTTTGATTCAAAGGTTTATCATTTTTCTTTGAGTTACCCTGTGATTTATAATTTTCTTTCCAAGTTTAGAAAAGTCCATTCTATGTTGCAACTGTCTTGACTTCCTCACCATTTAGAAGTTCTGTAACTACACACTATTTTCCCTCTTTTTGGTTTGTAGTTGTCCTCATTTGCCAGTTGATATCTCTTGTTCCCTATTTACAATCTTGTAGGCTTATTTAGTTTGG